TTATAATATGAATATAATATAAATTCCACGTTTGAAATTTTGTAAAAAACTTTATATATAAAATTTTGCTCCACATTTCTGACTATGTTCCAATTGCCACATGTTCCAAAAACGTTCCCCACAATTCTGAAGTATGAAAGCCCTGTAATTCGAACGATAATGGATTAGTTTTTATGAAAACACGAAGCAGTAAAGGTCAGTAGGTCGAGAGGGACATTTTTTGCCAATAAATTTGAATTAATGAGAAGAAGTTGCGAAGAACGCGGTTGGTCGAATCGATGTAGCCCCATAGCGACGCGAAACTTGGTTTCTATAATTGCATTATGGAAAGTTACGCCGGAATCGCAAGCGGATGGTTAAAAATTTAATAGGGAACTTTGTAGAGTGTAATCCCATTTGCAACGTGTTCTCTCCCATCTGTGTTTACTTGGTCGAACTCTATGCATGACTAAATAACTGGCATTAAATCTTCACTATGAAATTACCATAAAACGATTCTGCTCTGAATACGATTATAACTGAACCGATATTTTTTATTAACTTTAAAATTCTGACGTTTGAGGAGTTTCAATCTTTTGCGATTAAAAAATTTAATATTTAGTGTTTGTGACTTCTTTTCAGTATTGTGTATACATATAAAGTACATTAATAGAATGATCGAGAACCGTCAATTTGAACTCCTCCAACTTGTCTCTTTTCCATAAAGAGAGATGCAGCGTCATAAATTCTTGCATAAAGGCGTCTCCCGTATCGGAATTTTTATCGAGACTTCCGTAGAACTGGAAACTCGAATCAGAGGTAAGTAGAACGAGTGTTCAAACACGAAGGACGAGCAGAAAGTTTAATCCCCGGGCAAACAGGACGAACTGCATCGAGGGAGAAAAAATAAAAATATCGAAAAAGTGATATATAAAAGAGACGGAAAAAGCGGGTAGGGAAAGTTTATGAAGAAAGGCACAGAGGAACGCTGTAGCTGGAGAAACGCGACGAGAAAAGGTGAACTTTAAAATTAAATGAGAAAAAGGAGACACGGTAACAGAAGTTTTTTTAAAACCTCCAGAGTTATGTCCCGGTATTTTCGTTTCGAAAAGCTTCGTATTTTCAATTGAAATCCCTGAGTCTACGTAAAAATTGGAAAATAGTTTCATGATCCTGTACAATACCTGGAACGTTATTACGGTTTCAAGAGCGAGTACAGGTTTTTCTGTATGAAAGTTAAAATACATTTCGCAGGAAAAGAAGTCGATATATAAATGTATTTATATTTCATGCAGACGACAGTTTTATTCTCTGCAATTTTATGAATACATCCACATTTTATTTCTGTACGCGTATGTTATGTAAGCATAAATAATTGCGTTAAATGGAGTACAGCTGATGATAAATGTTTCGTAACATCAACCGGTTTTTTATAAATTTGATCTCTGCTGATACTGCATGAATGTTATATAATTAGCTGAGTAACATTAACCTCTTCCTGTGCTTTGACGAGTCTCACTCGTGACGCACTCACAACTCAAATGTGATTAATGTTACTCAAATTTTGAATACTCTTCAACTTGAATTTTAGATCCAACTATAATTTGCGTTGTCAAGGATCCATGAATATAAAATACTTAGAACATTTTAATTTTCTTCGTTCGTTTTAATGTTATATTCCTGAATGGTTAGTCTTGATTGACGCACCTCATAAATAAATGGCACGGCAAGGGGTTAATAATGTTGCATCTCAGTTTCCTTCTGTGCCAATCTTATTTGTTTAAGGAATTGTTCGAAAGTTTTCGAGTGATCCTTTAGAAATAAGGTATAAAAGATGTTACTTAAGACTTGGGCAATTTCCAGTTACATTCTAAAATACGCTCCGTTCAGATCTTCCAACCGAACGCCTTCTTTTATCACAATTTTCCCCATTTTCCTGGCAGATTCATCAGAAGGAGCACTGATTGAAATCCTCGTAGCCGCTAGTTCGCGCTCTGATGAAAAGGAGGATAAAAAGCGTGAATGGAAGCAAGAAGAAACGAAATCATAAGAATCGTGAAATCTGCTCTGATAAAGCAACGAACGCCACCGAGATAAAGGATCGCGTGGGAGGGTAAATATACAGGGTGCACTCGAAGTGATATCGATTTCCAGAAAAATTAGCCACCTAAAATTCCTTCTAAAAGTTCTAAAAGGGCACGCCTCACCGATTTTATTCACTTTGAAATACATTGTCAAGGATGTTATTCTAAGCAACCCCTACACGTGTAATGATAGCTCGCCTTTAATTTCGGAGGTTCTCAAAAATATTTTCAACGCGGTAATTATTTATAAAAGCGTACACGATTCACCGATTACATTGACCTTGAAGTATGTTGAAGGACTTTGCAACTTTCCCTGTAAAGGCTGTTCGGCTTTAATTTCGGATATTTGCAAAAAATGATGTAATTATAACGTAAGCTTGAAATATGTATGGGTCAACATTCTAAATAAATTTTGTTTATGTAATCGACTGTGGAAAATAAATAAAATAGCAATAAGTTCAGTTTTTATATGATAACACGCTGCTACTGAATTTACTATATAGTCTGCTTTTTTTTAATAATGTGACCAAGTATATTTCCACGTATTATCTCTCTTATGACACCTGTGATGCAGCGATTCCTGAATGGTTAGTCTTGATTGACGCACCTCATAAATAAATGGCACGGCAAGGGGTTAATAATGTTGCATCTCAGTTTCCTTCTGTGCCAATCTTATTTGTTTAAGGAATTGTTCGAAAGTTTTCGAGTGATCCTTTAGAAATAAGGTATAAAAGATGTTACTTAAGACTTGGGCAATTTCCAGTTACATTCTAAAATACGCTCCGTTCAGATCTTCCAACCGAACGCCTTCTTTTATCACAATTTTCCCCATTTTCCTGGCAGATTCATCAGAAGGAGCACTGATTGAAATCCTCGTAGCCGCTAGTTCGCGCTCTGATGAAAAGGAGGATAAAAAGCGTGAATGGAAGCAAGAAGAAACGAAATCATAAGAATCGTGAAATCTGCTCTGATAAAGCAACGAACGCCACCGAGATAAAGGATCGCGTGGGAGGGTAAATATACAGGGTGCACTCGAAGTGATATCGATTTCCAGAAAAATTAGCCACCTAAAATTCCTTCTAAAAGTTCTAAAAGGGCACGCCTCACCGATTTTATTCACTTTGAAATACATTGTCAAGGATGTTATTCTAAGCAACCCCTACACGTGTAATGATAGCTCGCCTTTAATTTCGGAGGTTCTCAAAAATATTTTCAACGCGGTAATTATTTATAAAAGCGTACACGATTCACCGATTACATTGACCTTGAAGTATGTTGAAGGACTTTGCAACTTTCCCTGTAAAGGCTGTTCGGCTTTAATTTCGGATATTTGCAAAAAATGATGTAATTATAACGTAAGCTTGAAATATGTATGGGTCAACATTCTAAATAAATTTTGTTTATGTAATCGACTGTGGAAAATAAATAAAATAGCAATAAGTTCAGTTTTTATATGATAACACGCTGCTACTGAATTTACTATATAGTCTGCTTTTTTTTAATAATGTGACCAAGTATATTTCCACGTATTATCTCTCTTATGACACCTGTGATGCAGCGAATATATGATAGTAAAAAATGTCACGCTGAAATATGGTATACTGGGTGTATTATACGAGGGATATTCTTCATAAAAGTAAACCGGTATAGTGGACATAGAAATGTAATATACCTTGACTCATAATATTACCACTGATATTTTAAGCTGATCGAAATCAACCAGTGTATTTAACTCAAGTTTCAAATTTCGTAAAGTTTCAAATATCATAAAAATATCCGGAATACGTGTCTTTTAATACCAGCACTAAAATAATTAAATAACCTGAATCTTTGTGGATTTAACAGTTTATAAATTCCCAAACATGAAAACTATAAAACTTTCAAATAAATTAAATAAATCAAATAAATTAGTAAATTTGGTAAAATAAAAATAAAAAATATGCAAATTGTAAAAGTTGTGAAGATTGAAAGATGTGTCAGTAGAGAATTCGCGGAATGAAAAAAGCAATATAATAGACTAACGACGTGCTCGGCTGTGTCAGCAGTTGGATGATACCCCGTAGATTGTAGATTGCCGGAGACTGATATAGATAGAGCATACAAGCAAGGGAAATGGGCGGATACGGATCGATCCAGAGTACCGTGGGCGTCCAACGGGAGAGAAAGAGACGGAGATGCGTCTACGTAACGCCATTTCGATGGGAAATTGCGATCTATGCATGCATTAAGATACCTTTACACCTACAAGAGGCTCAGGTCAGAATCTACTGCGATTACCGATTAAATACCCTATTTATCTTGTCATTTCCTCTAGCGAAATCAATTTCAGGGACAATCACGCACGATCGTCCAACCCGGATGGGAAATGTCGAAGTTCGCGTAAATTCGAGAACGCTGCGAACGAGAAGGGTCAAGATTTTCCGGCTGACGAGTTTTGGTTAACTGGCAGAAATAACAAGATCCTGTTCTTTCTTTGCTGATTGGACAATTAAGTATTGATTGGTCCGAGAGATTATTTGTTTTCTCCTTTTAGAACAAAATATGAACGTGGTTGGGAAATCGTTACTGACCCAAGTCAACTGAAGCTGATATAACCTAATCTATTAATGCTATCTATCTCAAACTAAGCATAACTTAATACAAGATCTCGCGTAATCCAACCATAATTGAACCTAATCGACCTTAATGTAGCTAGAACTAACCTCATCTAAGTTAATACTAAATCAGCTGAATAGATAACCCAGTCATAATCTAACACAATGTTCACTCAGTAAAATAAATTCGGGCTAATGACCATAGTAGTCGACGTCCACAATAATCAATCAATCAATCAATAAAATAAATTTATCTCATATTAACCTAGAAATAACTTCCCTCCCTCAACATAAAGGCTTAAAGAATCTGTATAGTCATAGGTTAATAATTAAGTACCCAATCGAGATTTGTAAATGTTTATTGCGTGACATTATCTTATAGCTTATCAATAGAATAAAGTAATGATCGTGATAAATGAACTGACAGATTACAGGTTACGTAGGAAATAGTGATTTCGCGAATAATCGATTCGTGACAATCACTGTGAAGCGAGCCGGTTCAGCTCGTTCGACTTAACAATACGATAACAATGAATCGTAACAATGAGCGTTAAACGCTTTCTCAGTCGAAACGTAGATTGATTAAATGTTTTATTTATTCGAGACTCGATAATTAATACGAGCGATATGGTCGTTCAGACGCTTATACGAGTTATGTACATCGTACGGCGTATATATTTCGCGCCGAAATTGAATTTTTTCGTGCCAATCGTTACGAATAAAGGAATCGCTTACCGGTGATGAGTTTAGCACGGTAGTAAATCTGCAACGATCTCATGAATCCTATTGATCCTCTATTCATGCAAAATTCACTGATAATCTTCGAGTATAGCACTGCCGAAGACGCGTGGATCTTTTAAAGTTAATCAACTTCACTCAGAGATAGTTTAACACAGTTAATTGTTCACTTTTAAACGCAACAGAGGAAAAACTGTTCGGACACCGAATCACTCCAAACGTCGCACGAGTTACCGCCAATATTTATGACAGATCAATGTGATTGGTTAGAAGCTACTGTTGGTAACGCACGAACCAATCAGAACGCGTCGCTGATCCGCCATTTTGCGTAGCCATCTTTGACGCTTCAGTTTCAAGTGACACCGCGTAGTGAACGACGCGCGAAATTTTGTGCTCGGAAAAAGTGTAAAATTCGCGAAAATTACTGTGTTTAAGTAAGAATTTTACAAATATAGTGGTTGTAAGTGATTTTATTAAACCCACGCGTCTTTCGCGTTCGCTACTCGACTTTACTAGAGTTTACGAGTTTACGTACGAACACGTACAAAAGTGTTTCTCGTGCATTTTATCTAATTTCGTGCATAAAATTGAACGATTCGTGGAAACTATTGATCGACAAAGAATCGAAGAGGCTGTTGCTAGCTATTGCACACTCACACACACGAGGATTATGATTCGAGATGAACGGTGGCAGTATCTAAGGTACGTATTATACGATTACTCGAGTATTTTCTACTTTAATTATTCCAACGATATTTCATCCGAAAATGTAGGATGTCTAAGCTCACGTATAACATTTTATGGAGACCTCAGGCGATTAACATGCGTTGTCAATATTTCACAGCTCTCAATATTTATTGACAATATATATTAACCTTGATAATCGCGAAATATATATTAGTCGTGAAAATATCGAAATATTGACAATACACATTGATCGTCCGAGATTTCCATCACGTTCTAAAATCGGTAATTACGACGCAGACGTGTTCGTCCGTCGATAAAGTCGATCTCTATCATTCTGTTCTCGTTTATTTTCTTTCATTTTTACAAGCGATTCGTATACAAGATGTTGGATCTCTAATGAAACGCTTCTCGATTATTACATCACTACTATTTACAAGATATACCCCGCTGACGGGGAAACGTGTCGTAGAATAAGGAACGATACAGTTAAAGATTTAATTATAATAGAATACTCTTTGATGAACACAGGAATGTTCGATTCCATTTTCTTTTATCTCCGCGTTTACCGAGTGAATTCATGAGATTAAAATGTTGAAGTTCTTGCGAGGGGTACGTGTTTTATAGATAATTACGTAGAACAGAATTTACCTCGAAAATATATTTGCAAGGCAAACAAAAGAAATTAGAACTTTTCCAAATTAGGTTGAACTATTATATATGTCGTAAAGGAATGTATCGTGTCTTCAAATGTTTCCAACAATTACTAAGGCCACAAAAATTAGCTACAGATCATATTCTACATAATTATCATTTCGTACGCAATCACAATCCTGACTTCGAGACGAACTGACTGGCCTAAAACGTGCAACTCGTTATTGCTTTAATTTCTAATACATATATACTATTAGATAAATGCCGTGTGTTTTTGTAAAAATTCTATACCTAAGTATAATGCACAATGAAATGATGCGACAAATGACCTCGGAAGAGGATTGAAATTAAACGTTTAATCTTAACACTTTGATGACCTTTGACGTGATTTGGAAAAAGGAAATACCAATGGAAACCTATGTCACAGTTTCGTTGTTGCAAACATCAATTTGTAAGATTAGTATTTAAAGATAAAAAACGGAAATAACTGAACGTTAAAATCAAGAATACAAATGTATAAAATTACTCGTTTATGAACTAAAATTAGTTCATAAATCATCGTCCAAATTTACCGTGGTGAAAGCAAAAATTGCTAATCAGATTTATCTCGTTAGGTAACAGATTCTCAACGCCATTGAACGTTAAATTAATCAAACCTTAGTTAAACTTTTAATCAAACCTTTCCTAACTTTTTAACTCGATTAACCTTCCAAGTAACGTGTGAAAATATCCGGCACAAATGGGCCATTTGCGGTGCAGTTTCACGGATAAAAACTAATGAAAGTTAAAACCGTGATCAGGTAATACCGGCCATCAAAGCGTTAATCCTTGTTGTAATCAGTACAGAACCGACAAAACTTTGGAAGTTTAATCGAATGGTGTTTATAATGTTCGCTAAATGCTGGTAGGTTTTCCCCGGTTTTCCCGCCGACCTCTGTACAAAAATTACACCAGTTCAGTTATATCGTTCCACGCGTTTACTACAATCGTGTCGCAATTTCTCTGTTTCCTTTACGACGAATCAAACAATGTTCCCCTTCGTCGTTCAACGTTAAAACAACACTTTTCACGTTAGCCGTACATCGTGAACAAAGGTCGATAAATCCCATTCGTGTTTATCTTTCACTAACGTCGATCCGGTTGCCGAGAGATTCAGTGCCTGACATCAGCCTCGTCCGAAGTTTGGTTCTCGAGGGTGCAGGGCCTGAGGAACTCCTGACCTCTCTCGTGGAGCCATTTGTTCGCCACTAAAATCAAAGTCGAACGTTTATCAGAGGGAATGTTTTTATTTGTCGAGTCGCGTGAACGTTTAAGTACCCCATTTGGAACCGGTTAGCACTGGACAGGCCGCGTGTCTGGTTCTGAGATCTCCCTCGCCGTTGGGTTTCAGGTTGAACCAAAACGCTGCGCTGCCTTTCCTGGGCCACAGGGAGATGTTAATGGCTGTGAATACGGTACCGCCGCCTTGTTCCACGTCGCTCATCTACAAATATATTTTTATTGTTTAATAGGTGTTTTAGAAATGGTATCTCAGACGGTAGATAGAGAGTGATGTATTAGAGAGGATGAGTCTGATCACTCTCTGATGTACTCAGAGGTATTCAGAGAGCACTCAGAGAGTACATCAGACTCTAGGTTCTATTGTTAGACTCTAGGTTATATTATTTGGATTAATAAGTTCTTTCAAACTTCACA